AGAGAGAGAGAGAGAGAGAGAGAGAGAGAGAGAGAGAGAGAGAGAGACAGAGAGACAGAGAGAGAGACAGAGAGACAGAGAGAGAGACAGAGAGAGACAGACAGAGAGAGAGAGTCAGAGAGAGACAGAGAGAGAGACAGAGAGAGAGACAGAGACAGAGAGAGAGACAGAGAGTCAGAGAGAGACAGAGAGAGAGACAGAGAGAGAGACAGAGAGAGAGAGACAGAGAGAGACAGAGAGAGAGAGAGGGGGGGGGACTGGATGAAGCAGAAAAGGGCTACACCACCACTTTATTGTTGTTCTTCGTTTTCGTCTCTTCTCAGGATAATTGATCACATGGCTTTTGAAGAAGCACTTTGCATTCCGTAGGTTCATAGTAAGTTTAAAGCAATAGTTCATGTCATAGGTCCACAGGTGTAGAGATTTATAACAGGCTTGTTTGCATGTCTTCCCGTTAGTACCTGACTGAACACTCCTGATCTGTTTTCTAGCTCCATATGGTCATTGTAAGTTTAAAGCAGTAGTTTTTATGTCACAAGTTAGCACAGTTTTGTCAAGAGACAAATCGTCTGCCTTGTGCCTTATTATTTTGAAGACTTGTATAGACAAACTAGTCAACCTTTTCTTTTTTTTGTCCTTGCACCTACAATAAATTGTCCATTTCCAGTTTATGACCTTTAGTTACCAAATAGTGGACTCATTCCTAACCTAGAAGGAATGTTCTCCTTGATTGTAAATTTGTTTCAAGCCTGCTTTCTTTCCCTAGTGCAATCAGCCTGTGACACATGGAAGTTTACAGGGCTCTATCTGCAGCTTCTATTCTATAGGGGGCTTGAGATCACTTGTATCCATTGAAGATTTCTATAAAATCGTTATCAGGGATTATAAAATCATCAATTTGTCTATGCAGAATTACTACATGAAAGTACATCTTCATGTTGACCTGCAGGAGATTTGCCCAATAGGGTCGACTAATGCCCAGAAGTCACTAGGTTATGTGACATCGGCAGGAAAGATGTATCAGCAGCAAGAAGCAATCCTGGGATGGAGTCTCTGGGGACTTTGCCTCCAGAGTGCACCCATCATAGCCATGCAAAATGGTGGGGCATCTCCAGAAAACTCACTTGCTTTCCACAGCCTCTCCTTGATGGCTTCTGTCATATTAACTGTGTGTAATATAAATTACAACATATAATTTCACATCTTCCAAATATCCCCATGTTTCTCTCCTCTTTCCACTCACCCAGCATTTTCCCATCCATCAGTTACTAGCCACACCCCCATGTATCTGCTTATATAACTCTCAGTTGTCCTACTGTCTTGCTCAAACAGAGAGATATACTGAGAGTTTATTCTGAACCTCATCCTGTTTTAAGGACCAGTTGCTAAACATTGACCTGCTTGATGGCTCTCAGAGATTATCTGGGAGAACAGATGTCCAAGTTAGCAATGCCGTTAGGTGTACTAGAAACAATACTGGGAGCCGTCCACATAATGGGTCCTGGTCTCCTGAGTTTCTACATACAGGTCAACGTGTCCTGGTTCTTCCTAAATCACTCATTCTGAGCAGATTTGTCCTAGAACAAAGGTATATGAAGGCCATGATCTTCTATGAAAGAAAGAAGAAAAGAAAGGCAAGGACGGGCTGAATGTGTCCTAACCAGCTTATTCTACGAATTAAGTGTTAGAAGGAACCTAAACCCAAGGTACATCCTAGGCCTCAAAGACATACATTTCATGTCAGCTGCTTGGAAAATGACATGCGTGTGTAGTAACATGCAAATCAGACAGGTCAGATAAAATGTGGTAGAATAACTGGGACATATTAACATATTTTTCCCCTGAGAGAGTTTAAGGAAGAAGGCAGATTTAGCTGGGAGCCCTGGGGACACTGGGGAGTGTATTGACTCATTCTTCAGTCTGTCTCTACTGAGATGCATTACTTTTGCTCCCTTTGGATTAGGGTTACAACTCTTACCTTCCAGTCTACAATAAATTAGATCCACATTACCAGCCAGAAGACTCCCTAGTGGCCTGGGGTGGAGACTTACAGACTCAGTGTCCTGGAATCCTGTCTCTCACACTCACTGACTGGATGACACCTGTCAAGATCCTCTCTGCTCTGGGTCACATAATCCCTGTCGCAAGATAAAATACCTCAGGGCCTTCCAGATTAGAAACATCAAGTTTTCACCTTTTAGCTGTCTTTGAGAGAATTACAGAAGTCTAAGAAGATCAGGCTATTTAGTAGAAATTCTATTTCTGAGACCTGAGATCTAGGTCCGTGGGAGAGTGTTTCCCAGCCTGTGCAGACCTGGGCTTGATCCCCAGCACCCAAAAATAAATGGATTCTTTAGCATTTTGTGAAATCATCCATAAGCGACATTGCAAATCTGCTGATATGGGGTTTCCATGGGGGCTCTGCCTCTGATCCTGAACTTCGTGGTCACATTATCACTTATTGATGAGGCTGTGTGTTTATCTGTCATGTAAAACAAGTTGAGGACAATGACCTGCACAATGTGGTACCAGCACAGCTGAAGAAAGTAGAAATCTTGTTGATAACATTTTCCCTCTGCAGAGTGTCTCTCTGCCTTCCATCCCCAGGGTTGAGCAGCTGGTACTGTGGAGTCACAGGTAGGAGGGGGCTGCTCACACCTCCACCCTTCTTCTGACAGCACACTTAGAATCCAGCAATTCTGCAGTGCTGTTGACCTTGACTCAGTCGCTATCTCTCAGACCCACATCTTTATTTCAGTGTCTCTTCAGGGAACACCGTGTCATGTGGTGGAGGCTTCCTGCGGTCTGCAACATTCAACGACACTGTGACGAATGCTATCTAAAGACTCTGTTATCAGCCTGGTTTCTCCCCAATCCCATGCTTTCTTTGGCAACATCTTTACTCTTTGGCCTTGGTAAAAAAAAAAAAAAAAAAAGGGTGTCCCTGAGAGATGATAAACCGGAAGGAAAATGGTGGGAAGAAACTGTAGGGGAGGGAGAAGGGAACACAGACCTTGGACCTACAATGAGAATAAACATTAGATTAGATATCAAGACAGTAGAGTGTGCTTATTAGAGTGAGTGTTTTGAAAGTGGTAAATTAATGGTAAAGAGGGAATTCCACATTAACTTTGAGTTATCAAGATGAAGACCCGAAACCGGCGGCATTTACCCTTAATCCAGCATAAACAGTATAGAGTACACTTTGTGCACTACCCTGGTTGACCAGATGGCTGGCCCTAAGTAGTCCAAGCAGAAAGTAGAATGTTGGTTTTCTCCACAGATTTGGGCTGTGAATGTCATTAGCTGTACTTATAATCTCGAGAACTTGGTGTTCCCAGCAAGACAGTAGGTGACTGGCTTTGCTCCAGTTCTCACAGCCAAGGTACAGACTATTGAGATAATTGGTTGGGTGAAGGCAGAAGACATTTCCATGTTCAAGACTACCAGCCAGGCCAGCCCCTCTTCAGAATGAAGTTTTCCAGATTTGTGAGCATCCTCGTGCTATTTGGCTTGCTTGCAAAGGTCCAGGGACCTAGTCTAACTGACTTGCTATTTCCCAGTAAGTATTGTTTTTCTGGTGTTGTCTGGGAAAAAGGGACGTTTACTGGAAGGAAGAGATAAGGAACGACTCCTTAGGTGTGGGTCACCTTTCTGCAGCTTCTTCCTGATGTAGCTCAGGAGAGGAGAGATACTTATAAGGCTTGTGTGTTACAAATGTCCTCTGTGTTAACACAGGGACAGGAATCTGGGAAAACACCTTCAAAGTCCCTTTAAAGAGATGTCTTCCTTGGGGAAGTGGAGAAAGATTATAGTTCCAACATTAATGAGAAGACCCTTCACCTCTCAAAAGAAGCAGACAGACAGACAGACAGACAGACCACTTTGTTGGGAGACTCTGGGGTCAGAGTTGGTAGGTTGTAAAGAGTTGGTAACCAGGTGATCTTGAGCAAAATATTTAAACTCCATGTGGCCTCTCTGGAACTTGATTTCTTCATTTTAAATGCATTTTGGCCCTGCAGCTTTATGGTGAAGAAACAGGACAGAGTAAAGTGTCCCTCCTGGCAACTGCTCTGTAGGCATTCACTAACATTTGTTTGTGTTTACTATCTCATTTAATCCTTGTATGGGCTCTATGAGAGTAAGTCCTATCAAGACCCCTATTTTATTCTTTTAATTTAAAATTTTGGAATTTTAAACATTAAAATATAATTTCCCCCTTCCCTTTCCTCCCTCCAGTTCCTTTCATGTACTTGTCCCTACTCCGTCTCACAATTAGGATCTCTTTTTCTTTAATTGTTGTTGTGTATCTGTGTGTGTGTGTGTGTGTGTGTGCACGTGTCTAAATAAATAAATATAACCTGCAGTGTCCGTTTATTATTTTCTGTATGTATATTATTTCAGGGCTGACCATTTGGTATTGGATAAGCAATTAAATTAGGGGGCTTTTCCCTGGGAAAGACTGTTTCTCCTGCTCTCAGCATCCCTTAGTGGTATATTAAACTTCCCTCTTTGAAACTAGAGGACACAGAATTTAAAGAATCTGTCCACAATCACATGGCTACCAGCATTCAATCTACTAAAGATTTTTCTAAGATAATATTTTTATTAATCCTTTGAAAATTTTATACAATGTGTTTAGGATCGTGTTTATTGTCCCCAGCATGTATACTCCAGTAGAGCTAGAATTCCAAAAGCCAGCTTGCAGGTGGGGGGGGGGGGGGTGAGGGGGGAGGAATCACTGTGAAATGTCACCCTCTAGAGGAAAACAGGGACATAGCATAACTGAATAGCTAGAACAGAGGAAGCAGGCTGTAGGGGGAAGGGTCTACTCCCAGCGTCTGGAGATGGTTTGGGTTGTTAGGAGATAAACGGAATGCTCCGATGTCTAGTACATGAAGCCAAGGTGGCTGCTAAAGGTCCCACAAAGGACAGAGCAGTTCCCATGGCCAACAGGTGATTGTCTAACCTAAATGTCACCAGTGTTGAAAAGTTCTGCTCCAGTGGCTGGGGGTAGCAGGGATGGAGGGAAGAAGTTGTATGTGTGTGGAGGGGCGGGGATTGAAGAGGTTAGAGGTGGGTAGTGTCGGAAACATGAGAAAAGAGAAAGCTTCCTTCAGGGTGAGCAAACTTGAACATAAGCTTCCCTGTGCTCCCAAATCTGAAGGCCCTGAGGCTGAAAGACTGTTTCTTCCCTAGGGAGATGCCCCAGATTCAGAGAGGAGTGTGAACACAAAGAGAGGGACCTTTGTACCAGGGACAGGGACTGCCAGAAGAAAGAGAAGTGCTGTATCTTCAACTGTGGAAAAAAGTGTCTAAATCTCCAACAAGGTAATAATTCAAAGGGCTTTGGAATACCACAAGCCTTCTACCATGTCTCCTCTTCTGCCCACCTGGGCTGCCAGTGCCCCATGGCTCACCGAGGGGTGCATTCTGGGTAAGATTGCTGCATCCAAGGTCCTGTGGTTTAGTTCTGTTACAGCTCCTGGTGAGGTTGTGACAGTGATATTCTTATCCTAGCAGGTAATTATGAGCCTCAGTTTCCCCGAGTAAAAGTTAGGTGCATGGGTGGGATTGAGTCAGACTGCTTCTTGACTATTGTTCACTGCCATGGTTTTCTGAATCCCCAAGTGGCCATTGTGCTAACAAATGCTTGCATTATCGGTGACAAGCACGGTGATTTATCTTCCCAAGCTCCTGACGGCTAGGCAATTGCCTCTCTGCCTGCATGAACTGGACTCCATACTAGGAAACCTGCCCTAACATTCCAAACCAGAGCTGCAATCTCAACTCTGTTCCTGCCCCTCTGGATTCCCAAAAGGCCATCTGAGAGTCTCCATTTACTTAGAAATATTTGCTGAGCTTTTCTGGTACCCAGTTTTTAAAGTTCATTTTGCTCTAATAAAATATATTAGACAGGTTAATTATGAAGACAAAGGCTTATATAGATGAGTTTTTGAGTCTGGGACCAAACATGATGAGCAGGCACCAGCATGGATGTCATAGGAGGTGATGGGTGAGTGAGAGGAAGAGGTCACATGATCAACAGAAGTCAAGAGGGGCTAGGGCCCTGCAATCCTTTTGGAGGATATGTTCCAGGTGATCTAGAAGTCTCCCGATAAATCTCACCTCTTGAAGGTACTACAGTCTTGTGGCCCCAGAATCCAAGTCATGACCCTTGAGGGGACACACTTTACCCATATCCAAACCACGGTGTCCTTAATAGCACCTGACTTGTTTTCTGTGGTCAGGGCCACTGAGAAAGGTCTCTCGGCAACTCAACAGAGCTGAGTTCAGAATAAAAGCTAATAGTAAAACTGAGGATGGAAAGGCTCACCCGGCAAGAAAGACCTCAAAGGGAGATTCCAGGGGGACAGAGAGTGAGCATGATGCTCACTGGAAAAGGCCCTTGGCGGGTTAGGACCAAACAGTCCCAGTCTGATGGTCTAGAAGAAGGACTCTCATCTTTAAGCCTAAGAACCACGGGCTCAAAGGCAAAGAAAAAGCATGCTCTTTGGTATTTAGTGAGGACGTAGCATGACCAACATGTGTGGTCCTCTGGAGTGTGAGGATGATTGGGGGGACTGGATTCATGTTGGAGGACTTCCTGTTGGAGGACTTCCAGGAGAAGGTGATGGCTTCAACTGGAGACAAGGGTCAGAGAAGGGAAGAGTGGGTGGCAGCTGAAAGTATTGGGGATCATGGGACATGACAGTGGAGCAAACGTGACAGCCAGGTACATGCCAGGGGTCTGACACCACACTTCAGAAATCTGAGTCTCCGGTTCAGTTTTTAAGCATCTTCTTAAAATCTTAACCAAATTAATAATTTTTTTCTATGGGCTTCCACTTCTTCACATGATGCTAAAGGGCCCTGGAGCACATCTTACTTCCCCTTTAATACCCCAAAAAACTCAGTCGTATGCTAGGCATCAGAATCCCAAAAGGAAACCAGACATAATCCCTGCACGCTGGAGAGTCACAGTCCCAGGGACAAGACTTGGAGGCATTTTTTTTTCTTAAATAATAAATGAACACAGAAGCTTCAGAAACAAGATGGGGAAACGCAGGCTGGATTCAGGCCACTGCCACGGTGTGGGATATGGAGTGGAGTTAAGAGAGGAACTGATTTTTGAGAAAGATTTTGAAGGAAGAATAAACATTCTGCTAGCACGCAATGGCGCATGTGCAAAGGCATGGAGGCGCAGTGGAGCGGGCTGTGCTGAGCTGAAAGTCACCACGGTGTGGCGCTTAAAGAGACCCCACAGCACAAGAGGCCAGGGTCAGGCAGAGGAGCCAGACAGGGAAGGACCTTGTGATGAAGCTGAGATCTTACATGCGGATGACATGATAGCCTCATGTCCGGATCCATTAGATCCTCCTCCCTGGCGGACCAATGGCGGATTTGGTGGGAGGAGCCAAGGATGACGGCAGGAGGATGAATTGGAGGCTGCCTCAATAACCTAGGTGTGAGACTCAGGCTGGAAAAGCCTGGCAGAGAGATGGGCTGCGAGGAGGGGGAAAGCCACTGCTGTGGTGACTTAAGGTCATGGAGCTTGTAGGCCAGCTGGATCCTGTGTGGGTTTGTGAGCATCACTCGCAACATAAAGCGGTAGCAATGTGTTGTCGGGCAGCTTTGTAGGCTGTAAGAATGAGGTTAAGGTGCCAGTGCGGTCTCTTCTCAGGATTGTGAGAGCCTTTAAAAATATTTGTGTTAGTGTGTGTGTGTGTGTGTGTGTGTGTGTGTGTGTGTGTGTGTGAGAGAGAGAGAGAGAGAGAGAGAGAGAGAGAGGGAGTTAGGGAGGTTAGAGGAGAACTTAGACTCAATTCTCTTCTTCCACCTTTGCCTGGGCTGGGACTGGACTCAAGTCGGCTCAGTTACACAGTGTCTATCTGTTGAGCTATCTCTCTGGCTCATGAGTGAGAACTTTATTACACAGTTCTCTATTAATATCTGGTGGCTTGCTGGCAGTCTTTGCATTTCTTAGCTTCTGATCTCTGCCTTCAAGTCCACATGGCATCCTCCCTGTGTGTGTATCTCACGGAGATACCCATTTACCCCTTTTTTTCAGAATCAGCTGTATTAGATTAGAGGCCTTCGGTGCTCCAATATGCAACCATCTTAATGGACTACATTTACAGACTGAAGATACAGTTCAATAACAGAGGGCTTGCCTAGCAGGCATGAGGCCCCCTGTCCATCTTTAGTACCCCTAGAACCAAGGCAGAAGAGTGTCCTCTGTGTGTTAATTCCTTTTACCCTTGCTATGACAGAATACTCAAGAGAAACAACGTGGGTATGTACAAAAGGTTTCTTATGACCTGTGGTTTTAAGAAGCCTTTGTACACCACTGTGAAAACAGCATGGTGGAGTTCATGGTGGCAAACTCGTGGTGGGAACTCTTCAAATGGCTTCAGCAGGGAGCTTCCTTCCGGAGCCAGGGTTATGCTATATAAACTTAGAGTCCTCTCCTACTGACGAACTTCCTCCAGACAGGCTCTGCTTCCTAACAGGTCCCACAGCCCTGAAAATGTCATCCCCAGCTGGTGACAAGTATTCAAAATGTAAGCCTGTGGGGGACATTACATGTTCAAACCATAACCACCCGTGAGAATCCTACCTCCAGGGACGCAGATATCCACCGTAGCATCTTCTAGCAAGTACACACAATGTTTGGGGTGTTGAACCTCTGGAGGGTGAGGGGGGAAAAAGAGTCTGGGGAAAAAAACCTACACTTATGGTGGCTCTCAGGGGAAGGAAAGGCATTGTTTTGTTTCGGGTTGCGCACTCTTGAATTCTCAACTCTGGGATCCCTCTGCAGATATCTGCAGCCTGCCAAAAGACTCCGGCTACTGCATGGCTTACTTTCCTCGTTGGTGGTATAATAAAGAAAATAGCACGTGCCAACTCTTCATCTATGGTGGTTGCCAAGGAAACAATAACAACTTCCAGTCCCAAAGTATATGCCAGAATGCCTGCGGGAAAAAAAGTGAGTCTTAGGATCGACACCCCCCCACCCCCGGCCCCGTGCACACCCCGCGCATGCGCGCGACCTTCCACCACCACCCCCCCGCCCCCAACTGCATCTAACAGCTGTCCCGGGAAATGTGGGTGTGGGTTGTCCTGTCCCAAGGCAGCTGTGTCTTTCTCAGACCTGACAGAGCTACATCTGATCAGGAGGAGAGGCAGGACCTCCTGGAAACTGAAGCTGGGAAGATCCGGGGAAGTTAGCAAACAAGAATGGATTTAGGAGGCGTGAAGGGGGGTGTAAAAGGGTCCCCAAGACAGACCGCAAAATGATCAAAGGGTGTCCAGCCCCACCCAGGCACTCCTTCCAAGGAGCCATCCCAAGCCACCAGCTTCTTCACTTCCTTTTGCCGGCAAGCATCCATGTCTCTTTGAAAAAACAGACTTTCGTTTTGAGTGAGCATATACAACAAGAAGTTTCACTATAGTTGTATGCCTTGCGCCCATGTAACTCAACTCCCATTGACAAACCCCACTTTGAGTCTCCTTCTACGATAAGATGGAGACACATAACTCCAGGCTCCAGGAATAAGCCGAGCCCAGGATGTTCAGCTCCGTCTTTCATTTCTGCATTCTCCACAGGCAATCTCACCTGAACAGAGGATACACTCAGGAAGTCATCAGGATTTGGCTTCTGCTCCAAGCCCTGTGTACCTGCTGGATGCTCCAGACTGGCTTCTGAGGACCACTTTGAGCACTACAAGGCCCTGTGTCTTCCCAGTGATTGGATCCTAGGATGCCTCCCCATCCCACCATGCCAGCTGCTATTCACACCTCCGCTTAGGGTCCCCATCACTAGCTCGGCCTCAGCTACTCAGCGTCACCGTCAAAAGCTCCCAGTTTATTCCCATGTAGCTCTCAGCTTGGTTTTGGTTCAGTAAAGTATTTGGCGTCACCCTGTGTCTGTGAGACTGAGTAGTCACCACGTCACCAGTGCAGGGAGAGTGAAGCCTCTGGTGACGTCAATCAAGGACATGTGTGCGGAAATGTCCTTGAAACCTGGGAAGCCCAGGGAATATTTTTCTCCTCCGTCTGAGACTTGTGAGCAGTGCCTTGCTTTGGATGCCCCAGAGACTGACTCTGGGAGAAAGGAAAGGGTTCAAGTGGCTTTTCTTGGGAAATCCTCCAAGACACACAGGGTGCAGACTGTGGTAAGTGGTTTGCTGGTTGGGGTAGGGGTAGTGGGTAGCATGTAGCAGGGACTGCTGTTGCCACACCTCACCATCCTTGATTCTCACTAGGTTTCACTTGCAACAGCAAGAATGTATTCCAGCAAACCCTCTCCCCCTTTTTTAAACCTGTTTTTCTTTTTTATTGCAGTGGCTTCTGAGTTAGTTACTACTGGGATATTGTAACATATTCCCACCAATAAAACATGTCTCTGAGTTTTCTTTATCCATGTCCGGTGACAGGAAAGACACTGTTCCAGGGCTTCCTATCCTCCCTGGATGCTTGAGATATTAAGCCCACCTCGGCCCAGAATGTTCCACATTCAAGCTGAGTAGGCGCCAAGTGACCAAAAAACCAGGGTGAAATTCTAACGTGTAGCAGGATGTTATTCAGCCACAAAAACCAGGAACCAGCACAGTGTTCTGCTGTAGATGAACGTATGTTGGCATCTGAGAACATGGCTAAGGGAGTAAAGAGCTTGCCACACAGGCGTGAGGACCTGAGTTCAAATCCCCAGAACCCATGTAAAGCCAGGCAAGGTAGCTCATACCTGTAATTACAGTGCTCCTACATTGAAATGGGAAGAAAAAAAAAAAAAAGAAGACTCCCCACAAGCTTTTTGTCAGGTAGCCTGGGGGATACTGAAGAGTATGGTGTGGGAATGGAGATGGGGTCAAAGAGACTCCACCTCAAACAAGGTAGAAGAGGAGAAACCATATCAGAGATGGTCCTCTGATTTCCACATGTGGGCTATGGAAACCTCACCACACACACACGCACACACACACACACACACACACTGTACTGTATAATTCCATTTGCATGAAATATAATGTTGAGTGTGGTAGCTCAGACTGCAATCACACACAGTCAGGAAGCAGAGGCAGGAGGATTACAGGTTAAAGGGCTGCATGGGCAAGTTATTGAAACCCTGTGTCAATTCTTTAAAAAAAAAGGGGGGGGGGGTGGGGGGGCAAGGGCTAGAGTTGTAGCTAGGAGGTACAGCATGTGAGTGAAGCCCAGGACTGAACTCATCACCGGCAAAGAAAAAGACAGCAGGAAAGTCTGTAAGATGTGATGCAGTCTCAGGGGCGGGAGCAGATTGGAGGCTAGGAAGTGACTGCTCATGAGACAGGGTTTGCAGCTGGAGAGAAAACCATTTCCGAACTAGTAGATATGACACACAGTCTGGGTTGGTTTGTTGTTGTTTGGTATGGTTTGTTTTGTTTGTTTATTTACCTACTTGCTTGCTTTCTTTTGAGACAGGGTTTCTCTGTATAACTCACTTTGTAGACCAGGCTATCCTTAAACTGAGAGAGATCTGTCTACCTCTGCCTCCTGAGTGTTGAGATTAAAGGCATGCACCACCACAACCGGCAATGACGCACAGTCCTGTGAATGTACTAAGACAGATTCCATATTCTTGACCTGAAAGTGGTTGATCTTATCTGGTGACATTCTAGCACAGTTTGTCAAAGCAGACACCATGGAACCATCTCTTGCAGTTGCAGATGAAATCCTGGATATATCAAATAGGTGTGGCTGCTGACAGCAGTCCCTGCCTCAGTTTACCCTTGGATGGCTCACATTGGGTCCACACTGCAGTCTCTCCCTCACTAATGCTTCAGGATTTAACTTGAGGGAATATTCCAGAGCAATGAGAGAGCCACTTTTGTCCCTCCTGCAGCTGACTGAACCATTGCTTCTTGTGGACCCTGCTAACCTGCCCTTGGGACAGAGGCTCTCAGCTTCTCTTGCTCTCCTGCCTTAGAGGTGCCATCTCCTGGCCCAGTTCTCACTGGGAATGGTGAGGTCATGCACACCTGACAGTCTTTACACTTGGGTGGTGACTAAAGATAATGTCTGAGCCAAAGACAAGAGAAGGAACATCCACAGGGAGTTGAAGGGGAAGGATAAAGAGACCCAGGCAGAGAGACATTGAAAAGGAGAAAAAGGAGGCACAGGGTCAAAGCCACAGATAATTAGCCCAGAGATGAGAAAAATCAGCGACCAGGACAGTACACAGCTCAATCTGTCTTTGCTTGCCCAGCACACGTGAAGAACTGATTCCACCTCCAGCCCCACAAACACTGGGTGAGGTGATGCAGACCTGCGATCCCAGTGCTGCGGGGGTGAATGCAGACGGATCAGTAACTTCTACTACACAGCAAGTTTGAAACCAGCCCGGGTGAGATGAGATCTTGTCTCAAGAAAAAGAGGGGAGAGAGAGAGAAGGGGTGAGGATGGAAGGAAGGAAAGATGAAACAAAAGGAGGAATGGGGGGAGAGTTGGAGAGCAGAAACAGAAAAGTGAGTGAGAATTTGGCATGAAGGGGAAAGATGAAATTACAAAGAGGTGACTCGGGTACAGTGGGTGGGGAATTGTGGTTGTCAACTGGACATAACTGGGAAGAGGTCCCCTCAGTTAAATAGCTGCCTCCAGGTTGGCCTGTGGACATGTCTATGGGGTATTTTCTGGATTTTTTAATTGATGGTGGAAGTCCTAGCCCATGGTGAGCAGTGCCACCACGGATCACGGGATCCTGGGTTGTGTAAGAAAAGCGGCTGAGCAAGCCAGCGGAAGCCAGCAGTAAGGAGTATTCTCCCAAGGTCCCTGCTTCAGATCCCACGTCCAAGTCATACCTTGGCTTCCTTCCATGATGGGCTGGAATAAACCCTTTCCTCCCTAAGTTGCTTTTAGTTAGTGTTTTATCTCAGCAGCAGAAAAGCAACCCCGAAAACTTCCGATCTCCAATTTACCCCAGGGAAAAGTAAGATCCTGGAATTCATATAACTTTTGAAAAGATTCTAGAAGACTTGAAGCAAGTACACCCATCTCCTTAGTAGGCCAGAGAGCCAGAGAATCTCAGCATGCAGAGGCCCAGACCAGCATGCCAGATCCCTTTCCCCCACAGTTTGCACTGTGGGTACACCACGCACTGATGGCATCTGGAGAGGGAATGTAGCTGGCTCTTGTCCAGAGTTGCTTCCTGGACTGCTGGGGCATGCAGCAGAAGCTGGAGCCACTGACCAGCTCCTCCTGGTTTAATGCCTCTAAACGGGCGACGGCTTCCTAAAATGAGACTCTGGGGACTTCTGCCTTTCCTGATCCCCTTCATCTTCCTGTGGAGTATCTGGAAAGCTGAGCCGGCAGAGGGGTTCTTTATCAGTAAGTACTGAGTCCAGTTCTTAGCATGGAGAGAAGAAACTTGTTGAGGTTAGAACCTCACTCCACGCTGCAGGTGACAGTGTCTCTCCCACCTCAGCCCCAGGCCCTGCATCGGGGTGATGTTTAGAGTCAGTGGAAAGACAGCCTGGCTGAACACAGCTCCCCAGTCTGTGGTGGTTGGCTCTCCACCATTATAAAGAATTCTTCACGGAAGTGCTGGGACTTGTGCACATTAAATGGACCTGGGGATTAAATAGCCAAAGGGATTTCCACTGAAGGCCCAGCCTCTTCCTAGCACCACCCCATCAGCTCCCAAACCTGCCCACTGCAGCTCCCCAAAGCTTTCCTGTATCACAGAGGCCCTTCCCTGTGTGCTAAAGAGCAGCTCCCAGGAGTCCCTTAGGAGGATGCATGGAGATTCGAGCACTAGAAGGAGGTGGTGGAAAGTGGATGCTTAGGAGATCACGTGACAGGCGCGAATTCTGGCTCCACTCCTCAGGAGCTGTGTGACTCTGCACAAGTCCAGGTAGCCTCCCCATGCTCTGGGTCCTCTGTTCTGTGTGTGCAACACTGACCAGGCCCACTCATAACTGTGTAGTGGGGAATGAGAAGAATGGCCAAGTGTCCTGGAAGTACTTCTTCAGTATGACTCACTGTGTCCCGGAAGTACTTCATCAGTGTGAATTACTGTTCATTTAACCCAGACACCTTGTTCAAACTTTGTCCCATTAGCCTTCAAGACAACAATCTAGGCAAACAGTGAGAGCTATAGGAGCCTACGAAGGACAAAGCTCAGAACAATTCCAAAGGGGTGGGTCTCTCTGGGGAAAAAGGGATAGAGAAGGTCCTGAGAGTAGATGCTGAGTCATTACAGTTGGAGATGTGACCAGTGTTGTGAATCCCGAGCTGCTGAGGGTTCCCCTCCTAGTGACAGGTGAGGGGCAAACAAGCTTCCTGAGCTCTGCTGGGGTCCCCTGGGACTGGGAAGGAGGAACAATGTCTCCTTCAGCCCCTCACAGGACCACATCTTCTCCTCCCGTAGGATCATGTCCAAGAGTCAGAGTGAAGTGTGAGGTTGAAGAAAGAAATGAGTGCACGAGGCACCGGCAGTGTCCGAACAAGAAGAGATGCTGCCTGTTCAGCTGCGGGAAGAAATGCATGGACCTCAAGCAAGGTACCTCTCTGGTGCCTGACAGCCCCGCCTTCCTCCCCTCACATTGTCCCGCCCTCTCCTGAGTGACTGAAATCTAGAACTTCACAAATATGTCTCTGGCATCCTCTGCTTGATGCAACTCTTGTAGGAGCTGGACAGGGACACCTCTCCCTGTGCTGTAATGGTTTTCCTCTAGCTCAGCAAACGATGGGATCGGTGGTGTGTTTCCTCTCTCAACCTTATTTTTCCTTCTTTTTTTTCTGTTTTTATTGGATATTTATTTACATTTCAGATGTTGTCCCCTTTTCCCATTTCCCTTCCCTAGAACCCCCTATCGCATCTCCCTCCTCCTTTTGCTTTTATACCATTTTAATTACATGCAACTATTAAGGTCAGTTCTAGGTTGAGG